ACTTACTCGCTTTTGATCCATCATTTTATTATTTCTATTTTACTATTTTACGTTTGTACAGATTTTTTTTCCCTTCAGAAATGAAAGAGTGAAATTTACCAGCTAAAGTCGGGCTCGGCGTATTCTGAAGCAATCATGATCATTGGGCACTTTTCTAGCAAAGTGTTCTCCATATTGTCTCGAGCCATTTGATATGTAGAAGGTGAAACAGACTGCAAAGAAACTTCAGTTTTAGGTTTATTTTTTCCATATTTATTTCAAGTATCTTTACCTTGAATACTGTTCCATCAAAGGTGAGATGAGTACCATGCGGCGGTGAGGATGTTCGAATCTTGTCTCGTTTGCGATAGAGACAAAATACGGTGACGGGGAATACGAGCGTTAGGAAAAGCAAGCAAAGAAGCACTAAAATTGATGCATAGTTTGCGTTAATCTTCAAGAATAGACTTTTTCTCATACCCATGGTTCCAAGTATTCCGTCAGAATTGGATTCGTTAACAGCGAAAAACGTCACACTATCTGAATGGTCATCTTCAGCAAAGTGCAAAAGATCGTAGCGAACTTCTTTGCTCGTAAAACCAATCTCCGATATGCATATCCATGACGACTCCGATGCGTAGTAGAGGCGAAGCTAAAAAAGGAACTTTGTTTGACCATTTCTAGTACATAGGTGCAGAAAGTAAGCTGTACCTGGACTGTTGATGCAATACGGCCAAAGATAGGAACGTGTATCCACGATGTAGATGTTAATTCTTCAGGTATATATTCATGTATGCGCGAGGAGAAGTCTACACCATTGGCGGAAAAGGACACCATTATCCTGGAGAATCCCTAAGAAAAAAAAGAGGTAATTTGACCAAAATTTTAAAAGAAAACAGGTGGGTTTTATTCCATCACTACAGGTTTCATATATTTCTTAAATCCTTTTCAACATGTTGTTGGAAAGAACGTAAGGAAAAAATGGAAATAAGATGTTCGAAAAGTCAAAACAATCCGTCTTGAAGTCTTTAAGGAATTTTTTAAAGAAATCCCACCTTTGCATTCAACTTCCTCGAAAACAACGTGTGAATGTTGATGGAAGAGAAGTTTCTCAGTTCCCCAAACGTAAAAAGAAGATTGATATGTCCCCCTAAAGCGCTAATTAAATAGGTAAAACGGGAGACTTGAATAATTGGGGAATTACCTTCATTAGTATCTCTTCTCCAACCAACCCATCTATGTGGATGAGAAATCTCCGTTTCCTCACCAACCATACCGTCGCTTAAGCGTCCCAAGCCTCCACTGGCGACGGAATTCGTAGTGCTACCATCGTAAGAAGAGTCCACGAAGCTGACTCCATTCGCTGAGGAGCCGGCTGGAGCTGAGTATGATTGGAGAGGATCTAAAACACCTGTCTAATAACTCCTTTTCAAATTGATATTTTATTTTAGTACCTTCGTACGGGCATCCATACAATTCCAGTCGTAAACATACGGTACGTGTACTGTTGGAAAGTGGGACAATTCGGAGTCTTCGGAGAACAATCGGTGCGTCGAGGACACGTAACTCAGCTGTGTATGTGTCGCTATTGCCCGGTATAATCTAGACATTGACTATGTTTTTCGGACGATATCGAGCGCTTTTGCCCATCCAGAAGTTTTTTTTTCCAGCAGCCAGTCAACCAATGAGATGAATGGACGTTGCAAAAAATTGCGGATGTTTGAAAGTGCATAATCTGC